ATTCTATTTTATTTATTTATGTAATTTTATTATATTTCAGATTATTTAAACGTCATTCATATTTTTTTCTTTATTCCATTTCTCTATTTAAATAAAATCTTATATTCATTATTTCATTAATAATTATGGGAGATTGGTATATTAGTGGTTCAAATCTTGAAGGAGAACATGGATTAGTCGAACAAAGAAATTGTCCACAAGGAAGACAATTTTGTCATAAAATTATTGATGAATGTATTAGAGAAAAAAGAACTTTACATGTCCATCAACAAGACTGGCAAATAAACACTTTCACTTATGAGAAACTCTAAACAATCTTTAATTTACTTTTATCTTTTTATTCTATTCTTTCTTATGTTAGATTCTTTTCTATTTTCAGATTCTTTTCAAAAAAATTGATGTATTATTATTACTCTCATTATTTAGAATTTGTAGTTAATTGTTTATTTATTCAATTTTATATTTCATTTCATTTCTCACAATCATCATTAAACATTAAAACAAGATATTGAAATGATAAATAAATTTAATATCAAATGATGTTTAATATCTAATTCATAAATATATCTTATAACATGATTTGTGTAATGGTAACTAAATAAAATATTCATCTCATTTTATTCAGTTATTTCCCTTTTAAAATAATAATAATAACGATATGAAAATAAAATATGAATATATAAATGTAAATTAATAAAAAGGTATATAAAATAAGAAAGAAGTATTAAATACAATAAATATGAATAACACAAATTAAAAAGAAAAAAGATTGTTAAATAAATATCAGAGAAAGGAGGGTATGGAGTAAAGGGAATGTTAAAAGTTTTCTTATTCGTTGACTTCCAATGAATGGATAATACCAAACAGTCAGAATTTTGTCTGGTTGTGTTTTTGAAACTTTAATATTTCAAGATTCACAAGAATATTCAAATTGAATCTTTAGAATAGAAAATCATATATAAAACAAAAGAATTAATTGAAAAATACGGAAGTGAAATACTACCAGGTAAAATATGTGCTATATGTATTGAAAAGAATTTTAATGGGAAGAGTTGTTACATAACATATTGTGATGAAGAATTATATCAAGATGTAGAATCAAAACTTGATGAAACAAAGTCATCTTACAAAAGTATAGATGAAAAATATAATGATTTAAATATTTATTTTTGAATTTGTTTGAAAAAGATATTCAAAATATAGTAAATGAATTTAGAAGAATGCAATTTTGTTTTGTAATTAACAGAGTGAATTATTATCTTACAAAAGAAGAAGAATTATTAACTGATAAATCATTTGAAGAATTAAAAAATGACAATTCAAAGGAAAAGATTAAACAAACTTGATATTAAATATAAATATTTGTATTTAACAAATACACAGGAACTATTCTTTGAATTACAGTAAGTCGATGTAAAATTCTTGTTTATAATAGAAAGTGTAAAAATAATATTTATTGAAAGTTCAAATGTCAGTGAATTTCATAAAAAGATAAATAAAAGGATAAATGAAGACACACAAATTATTACAAACGAATATCCAGATGATTTTACAAACGAAAGAATTAAAGGAATGATAGAGGAATTAAAACTAATAGGAACCAAAATTTAATAGATATAATGAAAATAGAAATAAATAAAACAGAAAATGAACGAAAAAGTTATGGTAAGTGCATCAACTGAAATTGGAAAGTTAATAGCATAGAATGAAGAAAATGTTTCAGATATTCCCGTTTCAATTACTAATGGATATTCATTAATACAATGATTTAAAATAAATTATGTAATAGAATATTTAAAAACGCAATATCAACAAAAAACTTACAACAAAGATGTAATGATAATCACAAAATAAGTATTATAAATAAACAAAATAATTCATCAAAATCACTTTAATTAAATAATACACTATTTAGAAAAGCATTAAAATATATTAATTTTACTCCTGATTAATTAGACAAACTCAATTCTTCTTTTAATGATTTTGTTGATGCTCAAAATTTAACAGATAAAATGAACTCATTAAACAACAACCGAGTGTGTTGATAATAATTAATGAAGTATCAAATGATTTTATTAATTTACTCAAATTTAAAATAGTATTGAAA